CACACAGAAGTACTGATCATTGCAGGACAAGTGTAACAGAGGCTAGGGTCTTCTGTACTTAACAGAACCATGTATCCTCATAGGCAAAGCATACATAGAATGCTATGTACAGTATGTGTATGCTATGTAAGTGGTTGGAATGAGGGACATCTGTGTGAAAGTCAAAGTGGGAGATGCCACCAAGGGTGGTGGAGAGTGGCAGGGCTAAGATAATCTGGGACTTCCAGATGCAGACCAACAAACAGGTGATTAACCAAGCAGACATTGTGGTGGTCGACACAAAAAAAGGCAGTGATGATCGATGTAGCAATCCCAAGTGACTGTTACATAGGGAAGAAGGAGGACGAGAAGCTGGAAAAACACCAAGAGCTGAAATAGGAAATACAAAAGTTGTGGAAAGTTGAAGTGTCCATAGTCCCAAAGAGTCATTGGAGCACTTGATGCTATGTCTCCAAAACTAGAAGAGTGGCTCAAAAAGATACCAGGAACATCATCAAAGATCTATGTCAAAAGAGTGCAGTTCTAGGAACAGCAAAGATACTGCACAGAACCCTCAAACTCCAATTCAATTAAATTCAGTTAATTTATCCATCCAACCATCCATCCATCCATCCATCCATTATCTTCTGCTTGGTCCGAAGTTGGGTCACAGGGGCAGCAGCTTGAGCAGGGAGGCCCAGACATCTGTTTCCACAGCCACCACTTCCAGCTTTTCCAAGGCATTTCTAGGCCAACTGAGAAACATAGTTTCTCTAGCGTGTCCTGGGTCTTCCCCAGGGTCTGCTCCCAGTCGGACATGCCCAAAGCAACTCCCTAGGGAGGCACCCAGGGAGCATCCTTACCAGATGCCCAAACCACCTCTGCTGGCTCCTCTCGATGTGAAGAAGCAGAGGCTCTACTACCCCGAGTCCCTCCTGTATAACTGAACTCCTCACCCTATCTCTAAGGGAGAGTCCAGTTACCCTACAGAGAAAACTCTTTACAACTGCCTGTATCCATGATCTCATCCTTTCAGTCACTACCCAGAGTTTGTGGCCATAGATGAGGGTAGGAACGTAGACTGACTGGTCTACACAGAGTTTTGCCTTACAGCTCAGCTCCCTCTTCACCACAACAGACCAGTACAAAGTCCATCTGTCAATCTCACGCTCCATTCTTCCCTCACTAATGAACAAACCCCAAGATACTTGAACTCCTCCACTTGAGGCAGAACCTCACCCTTGACCCGAAGAGAACACTCCTCCACTTGAGGCAAAACCTCACCCTTGACCCGAAGAGAACAATCCACTCTTTTCCGACTGAGGACCATGGCCTCAGATGTGGAAGGGCTGATTGTCATCCCAGCTGCTTCACACTCAGCTGCAAACCGCTCCAGTGAGAGCTGGAAATCACAGCACAATGATGCCAACAAAACCACATCATCTGCAAAGAGCAAAGATGGAATCCTGAGGTCACCGAACCAGAATCCCTCCGCCCCCTGACTGTACTGAGAAATTCTGTCCATAAAAGTTATGAATGGAATTGGTGACAACAGGCAGCCCTGGCTGAGTCAAATTCTCACCCTGAAGGTGTCCGACTACCGGCAATGCAAACCAAAACTTTTGCACTGCTTGTATAGGGACCGAACAACCCGTAACAATGGCCCCCCAGTCGCATACTCACGGAGCACCCCCTCAGTGTACCTCACGAAACACAGTCGAAAGTCTTCTCCAAGTCCACAAAACACATGTAGACTGGATGGGCAAACTCCCATGACCCCTCAAGAACCCTAGTGAAGGTGAAGAGCTGGTCCAGTGTTCCACCGCCAGTACGTAACCTGCATTGTTCCTCCTGGATCTGAGGGTGATGATTGGACTCGCTTCTCCACTACCCCCGAATAGACCTTACTGGGGAGGCTTAGGAGAGTGATGCCCCTATAATTAGAACAGGGATGGCCACCGTGAGAAGTACCGATAACCTTGTGGCCACAGCTCAAGGCAACTACCTCAACAATTTAGTTATGGAACATGACCTGCTCTTATTTAATGTCCCCCGCCTCAGCTGGGATGCAGTTAAAGCTCTCCTGGAAGTGTGGATTTAAGAGATTTCTGATGGGTTCTTCTGCCAGAATTTCCCAACAAACCCTCACTTCACATGTGGGTCTACCGGGTCTGTCCAGCATCTTCGCCTGCCATCTGATCCAACTCACTACCAGGTGTGATCAGTTGAGCTCAGCTCCTCTCTTTACTCCAGTGTCCAAAAGAAATGGCTTCAAATCAAATGACACTACTACAAAGTCAGTGTCAGAGTTTCTTTATTGTCGTTCGCACCACTTTTTTTCTTTCATTTAACCTTTATTTATACAGGTAGTCTCAATGAGCCACAAGAACTCATTTTCACGAGAGATCTGTTTAGGGAGCAGATGGTGGGGGTTAAGGGCTTTGCTCAGGGGCCCAGAGTGGGGCAAATGAGGGTGGAGGCAGGTGTGGGTGTTTCACCTTTTCCACCCACATTTTTTTTATGTTGACGGTACCAGGAGGTGAACCTGCAACTTTTTTGATCACAGGTCCATCTTCTAACCTCTGTGCCACCACTCCCCCATAAATGTGGTACATGTGGTGGAACGAAATTATGTACACAGGGTCCCATTTACATCCAACAATAAAATGTTTAAAAAAGCAGTAATAAGATCTAAGATATGAACTAAGAAAAACATCAACTAAAATATACTAAGCAGTAACAGTATAAAAACAATATGCTGACCAGCAACACAAACATGAGTCTGTGTGAGCAGATGAGCACGTATGAATACAGCAACATGAAACAGATCAGAAGCAACATGATGTGATTTTTCACAGTGATTATTCTGGTCAGAGATTAATGAGTCTAACAGATTCAGGGTAGAAGCTGTTCCTCAGTCTAGTGGTTCTACACTTAATGCTCCTCAACCTCCTTCCTGAGGGGAGTGGGGCAAAAAGTGTGTGTGCTGGGTGAGTGTGGTCCTTCATGATACAGGTGGTCCTCTTCCTGCATCTGGAGGTGTAGATGTCTGTGATGGTGGGGAGACTGACTCCAACAGACTTCTGTGCAGCCTTCACCATTCTCTGCAAAGCTTTTCTTTCTGCAGCTGTGCAGCCTCCATGCCACACGTTGATGCTGGAGCACAGGATGCTCTCCACTGCACACCTGTAGAAGGAGGTGAGGACTGAGCTTCCCAGACCAGCTCACATCAGCCGTCTGAGGAAGTAGAGTCAATCAGCAATCTACAACCTATAGGGCATCCTGTTGCCAAGTGCACTTATGAACACCCTTATATTTGAACATGGTGTTCGTGATGGATAATCTATGACTATCCCAGAAGTCCAACAACAGATTACCGCTCAAGTTCAGATCAGAGAGGCCGTTCTTCCCATTCACGCCCCTCCAGGTCACACTGTTGTTACTCACATAGGCATTGAAGTCCCCCAGCAGAATAAAGGAGTCCCCATATGACACCTACCAGCACCCCCGCCAAGGACTTCAAGAAGGTCGAATACTCTGAACTGCCGTTTGGTTACAGAGCCCCTGCTGTGCATCGAGGTGAGCCCAACTATATCTAGTCGGTACCTCTCAACCTCACACACAAGCTCAGGCTCCTTCCCCACCAGAGAGGTTATGTTCCATGTCCCAACAGCCAGCTTTAGTAAGCCAGGGTCAGAGCGCTAAGGCCCCTGCCTTTGGCCACTGCCCATGGAGTCATGCACCCAACACATATGGCCCCTCCTGCAGGTGGTGGGTCCACAGGAAGGCAAACCCATGTTACTTGTTTGGGCTGAACCCAACCAGGCCCCAAGAGTAAAGACCCAGTCACGAGGCACTCACCGGTGAGCCCTTCTCCCAGGCCTGGCTCCAGGGTGGGGCCCTGATAACCCACGTCCGGGCAAGGGACACTATTGTCCATAAGAGTCTTTTGAATCTCTCTTTGTCTGGCCTGTCATCTAGGACCAGTCTGCCTTGGGAAACCTTACAAGTGACAATTATAACTGCCCCCGACAGCATACTGTAGCTCCTTGGATCATTCAGGCACACAAACTCCTCCACCAAAATCTGGTGGCGATTCATGGAGGAGCTATCTATCCAGGGAAGCCAGCAGATTTCGTTGAATCGTCATTTTGTTGCAGTCTCCCATCCTGAGCACGGATAATGACTCACAGCAAAAAAGGATCCTCCAAAAAAGTTTGAACTTAAGTGGAACCAGCCAAGTGGGGAAAACAGCTAAGCCAGGTGTTTTTTTTTTTTTTTTCGTTTTGTTATGTTTATTAAAAAAAAGACTGATTCAGACATTAATTTTAAATGTCAATTTTAGACAATACAATGTTATTGTTATAAATAAAATGAGTGTTCAGCCTAATAGAGTGCAAAATACATAATTACTGATTAATCTGAAAGGTTTCTGTTTGAGAGAACTGGGGAAAATATATATATGTGTAAATAAATATAATTTGAAAGTCTGACTTTTTTATCCTGACATGAAAGTACTTTTTTTTTTTTTAGATTTTGTAACTTCATACTCCATATTTTATAAATATATTGAGAACATCTGTGAATCTAAACCCAGCTGGCATTTCTGTCTGTGTGTAAAGTGAACATCTGATTTCAATTCCTCCATTCATTAAACCCTTCATCTCTTTTTTTAATCTGTGTCCTGTTGTTTCTGGAGACCACAAAGGGTTAAATGGGGTTAAAAGAATCTGTTACACTCAGGTGCCCCCACCTCCCAGCCCCTCCACCACCCTCAGCCCAGAGTTGAATGCTGACTTATTAAAAAGCTTCTTCCAACATAAGTGGAGCGACCCTCTTATTTTCATCTTGTGAGTTCCTTTCTGAACGTCTGCAGACCAGGAGCTGTAAAAAGGAGCATCTTTATTGCAGCATAGCTGGATTTATCTGCTGGCACACATCAGTCTTGCTGCCGTTTGTAAAGAATCAGTTTGCAGCTGGATCACAGACACACAGCTGTATTTCCAACCTTCGCTTTAGAGATGCGGTGGATGCTGTTTCCACGGTTGATCTGCCTCCTGGCAGGAGCGTCAGTGTGGATGGAGCTCGGTGTGGCCATTTCGATCCATGTCGCCTACTCGCATGCAGGGATCTGCCCCAATGACATGAACCCTAACTTGTGGGTGGATGCCATGAGCACCTGCACCCGAGAATGTGAATCTGATCAGGTAACGTAGAAGGTTTGTTTTATGTTTAGATCAGTTTATTTCAGTGTCTGAATGTGTGCAGCATTTTACATTCTTGTAAAATGTCCTTCATAGACTGTGGGTTGCAAAACTATTCGTTCAACTTTGGTGCCTTGAAACACAGAATTTAAATTAATTTTTAATCTGATTTCATGTGATAGATTGATTTATTTTATTTATTTATTCATTAATTTAAAAGAAAAAAAATGAAACAAAACAAATTCATCAAAAAGAAAAGCCCCTTGTTAAATATATATATATATAATAACTACAAACAACAACATAGATCAAACAATACACTAACGATGATTGAAATTAAAAAAAGCTGGGGCTATTGAAATAACTTTAAACATTATAAAATAAAAAATGTGTGTATATTTTCTCCCCTTCACTTTGAAGCCCCAACTTTCTTAACCAGTGGAGTGTTGCTTCAGTGGTGTGTTTAGGGCCATATCAATGTTGAAAACATCCCAGATCTCCAACCTCTGAAAGACCGAACAGGTTTCTCTCAAGCATTTCTCTATATTTTGCTCCATCCATGTGTTATTTAACTCTAATTGGTTTCTCAGTCCGTGCTGATGAAAATTTCCCCACAGCATGATGCTTTCACCACCATGCTTCTTTGTGGGGATGGTGTAATGATTTAAAGTTGGTGACAGACATGGTGTTGTTCTCGATGGCCATAAAATTATGTTTTTAAATCCTGACCACAAAACCTTCTTCCACATGTTCTTGGAATCGCCAATGTGTCTGCCTCATTTTTATTGATCTCTGCTCAAGATCTCAAATACAATTGTTTTTTATTGCCTTTGTATGTGGGTGTTTTACAGAAGATCCTATAAAACACGGAACAGAGGTTTTTAAACCTTTGAGAGAGTCACTAAATGCACATAAACAACTGATTATCTTTTTGAGCCAATTCATTTGAAAATGACCTCTAAATTAAATTCAATTAAATTCAGTTTATTTCTATAGCGCCACTTCACAACAGAAGTTGTCTCAGGGCACTGAACAGGAACATTCACATACATAGAAAAACAGTTAGTAAAGTTCTCTATCTAAGGAAGCAGTATACTCGTTGAATCTTCACTTCATTGCAGTCTCACATCCTGAGCAAGCACAAAGGAGACAGTGGAAAGGAAAAAACTCCCTTTAACAGGAAGAAACCTTTAGCAGAACCAGGCTCAGGACAAGCGGCATCTGCATTGACCAGCTGGGTTTGAGAGGACAGAAAGGAGAGACAAACAAACAGAATGGCACAGAACTAAAGCTAATTAACGTTAACCAACACAAAAATTGGCTATGACTCAATTCAATTTACAAATACTGAGCTAAAGTTTGATGTGGTAGTAGTTGAGTTATTCAAAACACATACGTTGGGACATCTTATGATATTGCATAAGACTGCACATATTAAGATAAGATAAGATAAGATAAGATAAGATAAGATAAGATAAGATAAGATAGAACTTTATTGATCCCGCAGGGAATTTGACTAAAACAACAACACATTATGTTTGTGCATTAATTATCTTAGACTAAAACTCTAGCATAAAAAGTGGCAGACAATGTATGTTCTTTCATCCATCCATTATCTTAACCCGCTTCTTCCTTTTTGTGTCACTGGGGTCACTGGTGTCCATGTCCAGCAGTCACTGTGCGAGAGGTGGGGGACACCCTGGACAGGTCTCCAGTCCATCACAGGGCCACATAGAGACAAATGAGACAAACAACCATTCACTCTCTCACTCACACCTAGAGACAATTTAGAGTTACCAATCAGCCTAACATGCATGTTTTTGGTCTGTGGGAGGAAACTGGAGTACCCGGAGAAAACCCACGCATGCACGGAGAGAACATGCAAACTCCACCCAGAAAGGCCCCCAGCCGGGATATGAACCGGGACGACCAGCTTGTTGAGAGGCGGCATCACTTCCAACTGTGCCACTGTGCTGCCCTATGTTCTTTCAAAGACCTTTAACTTTCTTCAAGCAAATGCTTGCTTCTGACACTTTTTCATGAAGCTCAGCTTTGTGCAGCATAAAGTTGTCCTATGGACTGATACTCCCATGTCTGCAGAGGGATTGCTCAGCTCCTTCAAAGTTGTTTTTTTGTTTCTTGGCTGTTGCTTTGAACAATGCCCTTCTTACCTGGTTTGTGACTTTTGGTGGACAACCCTCTCTTGGCAGATTAGCTTTGGTGGCATAATTTTTCCATTTCCAAAAAAAATATTTAATGGAGCTCTGTGAGATGTTAAGGGTTAGGGAGATTTTTTTTTAAATGCCACCCTGATCTATTCTTCTCCTCAACATTAATGTTGATCCGTGTGGAAAAAGCCTTGGCTTTCATGCTGTCTCTTTTTTGGACTTCTTAGATTCTGGGGAGTGTCAGAACAGGATTGTGTGTATGTGTACACTGAGATTATGTGTCCACTGGTGGAGTTTATTTAACTGTCTTCTTGGGGCAGCATGGTGGCGCAACTGCTAGAGCTGTTACCTCTCAGTGAGCAGGTTACCCTGGTTCAAATCCCGGTTCGAGGGCCTTTCTGAGTGGAGTTTGCATGTTCTCTCCGTGTATGTATGAGCTTTCTCCTGGTACTCTGGTTTCCTCCCACAGACCAAAAACATGCATGTAAGGCTGATTGGTAACTCTAAATTGTCTCTAGATGTGAGTGAGAGAGTGAATGTTTTTTTTTTTTTTTTGTCCCTGTGATGGACTGGAGACCTGTCCACGGTGCACCCCGCCTCTCGGACAGTGATTACTGGACATGGGCACCAGCGACTACTACCACCCAAAAAGGAAGAAGCGGGTAAAGATAATGGATGGTCTTCTTAAGGACTGAAAGTAAAGAGGGTGAAAACATATGTGCACACCACCATTCAGTGTTTTAGTTAGATTAATTTTATAACAAGTTTGTCTCAATTTATCATTATTCTAAATCATTCTGTGGCAAATTATTGCTTTTAATCAAATTTTAAAAATCAATAAAATTCCAGATTGTAAAGCAACAAGGGGGGTGAATCCTTTTGCAACCTGCATACAGCATTCTGCATGTGTGACATGTCTCCTCATCTCTTCCAGGAGTGTGAATCCTTTGAAAAGTGCTGCCAAAATGTCTGTGGGAACCGCAGTTGTGTAGCCGCCCGTTACATAGATGAGAAGAAGGGCCCCATGGGAATGCCCAAGGAAGCATCCTGTGCCAATTTTATGTGCAGCCAGCAGGGGTCTGAGTGTGTCATCTGGGACGGTCACCCAGTGTGTAAATGTCGGGACCGCTGTGAGAGGGAGCCTCAATTCACCTGCGCCTCTGACGGCATGACTTACTACAACAAGTGCTACATGGATGCAGAGGCATGCTCTAAGGGCATCACACTCTCTGTTGTGATCTGTCGCTTCCACTTCACCTGGCCTAACACAAGCCCCTCCCTCCCAGAGCCAACCACCTTGCACCCAACCACATCTCTCCTTCAGCTCACCATCCCACCTGAGCCTCAGCCCCCTGTCACGGTCAGTAGCCCCTCTCACCAGGTTGTAAATGTGGGCGACACAGCCAGCTTCCTTTGTGATGTGGTGGGTCAACCCCATCCAGAGATAAACTGGGAGAAACGACTCCCTGGTGGGGTAGAGAGGGTGGTCATGAGGCCCAATCACATGCGGGGTAACATGGTGGTCACTAACATTGGTCAGCTGGTCATCTACAATGCCCAGCCAAAAGATTCAGGCATTTACACATGCACTGCTCAGAACCCATTTGGCTCTGTGACAGCCCACTATCATCTCTCTGTGCTGCTGACAGAGGAGCTTGGCCCTCTAGAGTCCAAGAATCTGACACATTGCTCACCTGAAGAATGTCTCAAACCCTCTGAAAGCCCAGAAGATTGTGGGAGTAACCTGGAGAAAGTTAGTTGGTACTATGAGTTCAAATTTAACAATTGCTTGGCTTTCACCATATGCCAAGGCAACCTTAACAACCAGCCTCCTGCTAAGGTCTTCAACACGTATGAAGATTGCATGCAGTGCTGTGGTCCAGAGCTGTTGGGGCCTTGTGGGCTCCCCACCCAGCAGGGTCCCTGTAAAGCATATAAGCCTCGGTGGGTGTACAGCAGCACATTGCGGGAGTGTCAGCCCTTCATTTACGGAGGCTGCGAGGGCAATGACAACAACTTTGACTCTAAACAGACCTGCGAGGAGATGTGCCCCTTCCCAAAAAATCATCCTTGCAAAGCCTGCAAGCCAAGAGGCAAGCTGGTGACGAGCTTCTGTCAGAGTGACTTTGTCATCCTTGGCCACATGACAGAGATCACACAAGAGAAGAGTTCAGGTCATGCCCTGGTGACTGTAGAGGAGATCTTCAAGGATGAGAAGATGGGTCTGCGCTTCTTTGGCAAGGAGCCTCTGGAGGTTACTTTTCTCAACATGGACTGGAATTGCCCTTGTCCGAACATCACGAGCGCAGCTGCCGAGGGTCAGGTCATCATTATGGGCAATGCCAATGAAGGCATGGCTGTCCTCCAGCCAGAGAGCTACGTGGGCACTTCTAACCCTCGTCGGATACGGAAACTGAAAGAACTAATTTCCAAGAACACCTGTGATGTTCTCAAAGTTATCACTGACAGTCCAAATTAGGATTTGAGTTGGAAACTTGACTGAAGGATTTATATGATGAACTGAAGTAATGTCTTGAGATTTCACTTAACAGTGGATACACAATGAAGTACTCTTATAAGCATTCTGTTCAGTTTTTGTCTGTTTTAATGCTATGCAGCTTAAAAAAAAACATGCAAAATAGACATCAAAACATTGCTTAATTGGGAATAGTAACTCATGTCTTGACATGTCCAGAAGAAATACATTTAGTTAAAAATGTGAGAAAATTTCACTTACACTACAACAAGGATTTGATGAAACAGATGAGAAAACTCATCTGAGAAAAAGGGACCGAGATGGGATAGAGGTAGGGCAGCCGACTTGGGACAAGAAAGTTCAACTCCACGCCATGCCCACATGTCACGGTGTCTCTGAGCAAGACACCTAATCCCTAATTGCTCCCCGGACGCTCAATAGCTGCCTTGCTCGACCTGGATGTATCGCAGGTGCGATGGGTTAAATGCAGGGAACTAATTTCGTCATTGTATGGGAACATACAATGATGACAACACATTGCACTTAACTGTTATAATTCAGACATACTAGAGACATACAGTGACCTGAATGTCACATACATTTTAGTTTAGTCATACAGTCATATAATCTGTTTAGTCATGTCACATACGAGTCCGGTATTTGATATGACTAAAAAGGCATTTTGATATCTTTAACCCTCCTGCTGCCCATCGGCCATTTTGACCCACGTGGCACAGAAGAGTTAACATTGGCTCACAACATGACGTTTATTTAGATTTTTTTGTCTTTTGGGATGTTTCCATGAAATGTTTGACTGACTAACGTTTCTAATTATTTACAAACAAACCATTCTAGTGGGTGGCTGTGGCTGAGTGGTTAGAACAGTCGTCTTCCAGTGCAAGAGTTGGGGGGTTCGATTCCACTTGCAGTCATATGCCGAAGTGTCCCTGGGCAAGATACTGAACACCTCATTGCCTCTGATGTGTGTCCCATTGGTGTATGAATATGACTAAAGCACTGATTATTCTTTGTATAGATCTAGTAGAGTGCTGTATGAATGGGTAAATGAGGACACAGATTGTGTTGTAAAGCACTTTGAATATCTTGATAAGATAGAAAGGCGATATATAAGTACAGTCCTTTTATAAGTACAGTCCTTTTATAAGTACAGTCCTTTTATAAGTACAGCCCATTTACCATTTACAACATGTAACATGTTACATGTGTTACTTTTCATATAACACATATATAGTGCTTGAGGACTCACACAAATTATAAACTTTATTTTCACGTTATAACTTCTTAGCATCAGCTCCTTGTGTTTTACTCTCTACTACAACGGATGTATGTCATCGTCCCAGAATGCTTTGTAAAATAAGGGCGAGATCCTTAGGTGAAAAATGTAATAAACATCCATCCATCCGGGCAGCACGGTGGCACAACTGTTTGTCTCATTTGTCTCTATGTGTCCCTGTGATGAACTGGAGACCTGTCCAGGGTGTCCCCCGCCCCTCGCACAGTGATTGCTGGATATGGGCACTGGCGACCCCCGTGACCCAAAATGGAAGAAGCAGGTAAAAGATAATGGATGGATCATCCATCCATCCATTATCTTTACCCTCTTCTTCCTTTCTTGGGTTGCGGGGGTCACTGGTGCCATATCCAACTAGCACTGTGCGAAAGGCGGGGGACACCTGGACAGGTCTCCAGTCCGTCACAGGGACACATAGAGACAAATGAGACAACCATTCACTCTCTCACTCACACCTAGAGTTACCAATCAGACTAACATGCATGTTTTTGGTCTGTGGGAGGAAACTAGAGTACCCGGAGAAAACCCACGTATGCACGGAGAGAACATGCAAACTCCACCCAGAAAGGCCCCTGGACCGGGATTTGAACCAGGGACCTGCTCGCTGAGAGGCAGCAGCTCTACCAGTTGCGCCACCGTGCTGCCCTGTAATAAACATACATATTTAATTTTTAATTTTCTTTTGGCTGCTCCCTTCGTTGAACCACAGATCTTCCGATCGCAGGTCCACCATCTCTAACCTCTGCACCACCACTCCCATTATGATGTTTTAAAGTAATTAGTTTTCACATGTCACAAACAACAACTTGTAGTCAGGGTTTAATTTGTAAATCAAAAGATGCTGGAACAAAAATAGCAGGGGGATCTGGGGGTACTCCCTCAGAAATATTTGAATAAAGTAGATGCCATTTCCTGCTTTCGGGTGTATTTTAATTGTAACTGTATTTTTACAATTACAATTAAATTAATTGTAATTAAATTAATTACGATTACAATTAAATTTTTACATTTACAATTTTTACCATTTTATTTTATTGTGTTTTATTTCTGGCTGCTAAACATCTAGTTTTACCTACATAAGTAAACACTTGATTCAATAACTATTTTAAAGAGCAAGAAAAAGTAGCCTGACCAACAGCTCTCTCCTTGTGTGAATAAAGCACACTCTGCTTCTCTCAAGCATCCTAACACCCCACCCCTACGTCAAGTACCTTCTCCATGACCACTGCCTTCATGCGCTTCAATTCTCGATTGTTTAGTTGTACAATGAGAAGACTTTTTTTAATGAAAGTAAATTGGACTGTCTTTTTGACATTTTGATTGCTGCTGTTTTGACAAATAAAAATAATAATTATAATAAATAATAGGCTATATTTTTGCTCCGTTGTTTTGAAATGTGACATATGTCATGTGATTTCCCATCAAACATTTCTCACATATTTTTAATAAGTAATCAAATTTTATTAATGACCCACTTAAACTGTAAAACTGATTTGCAGTTTAGTTGTGCTGTTAAATTATATTTTTGTGTTTTTAATTAAATTGCCCATGACTGAACTTTTAGGGGCGGAGATTTTTTTTAAGAAGCAACGATTCTTACTTGAAGGGGCAGCTTTGATGTGATATTAAGAAGCGGCTGTTATGTTTAAAATTAGTGTTTATGTAATTATTTTCAATTATAGGTTTTATCCATTCAAGGCAGTCAATTTTGTCCATACCTGTATTATTAGTAAACCTGAGGGTTACCGGATCAAGCAAACGGTTACCAGAACGCACCTGTCAAAATAAGAGAGTTCTCAGCTCAAACGAAGCCCTGCTTTTAATGAAATGGGGAAAAAACATCTAAAGGCCAATATGTGCAAGAAGTCAGAGATCCTTTTTTCCTACGTTTTTATGCAATTTATAAATCAATATGTGGACATTCTTCCTAGCTTAGGTTATGTTGTCATGTTTAGCTGATGTTGGAATTTCAGGCAGTATCCACATACTCTTAAAAATCACCTTTTAAAGAAGTATTTTTTAACATGTATCAGTCTTTCAGAAATTCCTGCTAAGAAACGTCAGGTATTTTGGGCAGTTTATGTATTTTTTGGCGTCCTCACCCTTTTGTTGAGATATGACCATTCCTGCAAACCAAGCTCATCCATCCCAGTTCCTCTGACTCTCGCCTTCTTTATGCTCCAACAGAAACTGAACCCACAGATCTGACCAAAAAAATGCCCAAAACAGGTAGTTTTTATCATTTTTATTTTTTATTTTTTGTTGCGTCTACCTTCTCTAGCTCTATTTCCACAGCTCAGTGACTGATGTGTACACCCATGCTGTATTTCTGTGCAGTTTCCTAAACATGCAGTGCAATTTGAATTGATGCATCTAAATGAACAAGTTGTAATATATTTTCTTAAACAAGCTGTTTTTATAACCTATGCACTGTTATCAACTTGTTTCTGGGCTATTTATTACCACAGATGCTTTTCATTTGTTGCTTTTATACTTGCAATCATCTTTTGCGCTGAATTTTGTTACTTGCATAAGAAAATAAACATTTGGATTTTTTTACGTTTTCTCGTACTTCTTTATTCCTGCTTGTATTTGTTGAATCAGAATGTTGTTGTAGGACAAACTGAACCGTATTGTTTTACGAGGCTCATCGGGCTGAGTGCACACCGACTTATTAAATAACCCGGTGCCTCTGGACCTGTTGGAAAACAGAGAGGCTCTTCTGACAGGCTCTGATAAAAGAGGCTTGGGAATAGTATATTCCCAGCTCCCCTGTTGCCCCTTGCAATCCTTAAAAAAAACTTCAAAACAGATCCATCCTTCCCAGAGACCCTCGTGGCGTTGTAAAAACCTCACCCTGTTTTGCCTCCGAGGTCCAGCCTAAATGAGGTAAGGAGCCCGAGCTGTAAACCTCAGATCCCCTCAGTTATGTCTTTCATGCGGTGCCAACAGGCTCCTCTGGTTTACCGGGAACAAGCCTTGGTGGGCTTCAACGAGGGTGTTCTACTTCCCAGACGAGATTCTGTTTCTCCCATCCAGAGCAGTGGCGGAGGCAGGACATCGGCACAGAAACACAGACCTTTTACAGGCTAACCCTCCAGGGGACCCCAGAGCTGCACTCCAGCAGCTGTCGGGCCCCTGGATCTGACAACTATTAGATCTGCAGCCCTTTGGATGGAATCAGTCGCCTAAATCATTTCAACTACACAAACCTACAGCAGCTATGTCGTCTCAGTTCATGGGTCATTTCACTGCTTTCTAACTTTTACAACTTTTGGAATTATAAAATGACTTCCACACAATAAAACACACCAAATTAAATCTGTGTTTATTTTTTAATCAATTATACAAATAAACATAATCAAATTTATTGTAATATTGATTATTTTATAAAATATATTCATTAGTAGTAAAGAAGAACAGAAGCATGTTAAATATTTTATTGAGCAAGTTTCTTTTATAAAAAGGGGAATTTTTATATTCTCAAATTTGACACTTAAAGTTTAAAAATCTGGCATTTTTCTTGAACTTATTAATTGGGGAGTGGTGGCGCAGAGGTTAGAGAGGTGGGCTTGTGATCCGAAGATCACCGGTTCACGCCCCGGCCCCGACAACATCAAAAATTGTGGGTGGGGTAGGTGAAATACCCACACTTGCCTCCACCCTCATTCGCCCCACTCTGGGCCCATGA